GGTAGAGGGCAACCTGGAGGACAGCCTGGCCGTGATCGGTGTGACGAACGGCAGTGGCGTGCCCACCTCACTCGAACTGCCCATCACCGTGACCAATCCAGCCATCGCATCGCGAATGGGGGCGCCCGTCGCTGACATGCTGCAATTCGCTCCTTTCCAGTAGGAGGGGGAGGAGCCCGGTCCAAGAGCAGTTCAATTCGCTTTATTTTTTTTTGTACACCTAAGGAGGTTTAGAAGATGCAGTGTATGCATTTTATTTTGAGCGGCTGGCAAGGCCTAACCCTGCCTCTTTGTTAGTTCAATTGGCACGAAAATGGACGACGACATTGCGCCACGGGCAATGTAAATATTAAGTTGCTTAATTAACCTAAGTTAGATTCTTAACTCCACCTATCCCTTGCATTGCAAATGTACGATAGCGATAGTGGAGTCCCATTTGCACGTAAGACATGTAATAACCATAGTATAGACCCGAACAGAACGGAACGGACCAGGATAAGCTCGATCGCGAATCGATGCCCGGCACCAAAGCAATAACATACGACACCCAACAGAATATGCCACGCAGCGTACCACACAGTACACTCCTGTGGGCAGGAAGCACACTTATATTAAGCGACCGTAGATGCCCATACCACGTGTGTAAGATACGCCAGTCTCTAAGCTAATGAATGTCTAAAGAGAGCCGGGAAGGAGGCGGGCAGACCAGCTCGCCCAGCTGGGGCAGCTATTTGAATAAATGCAACATGTGCAACAGAGGACTTTGAATAATTCCGACGGAGCCACTTCAGCAGCACACTCACTCAAATTTATGCCGATGATGTCGATCATCTGTATATTTTTCATTCTCAAGAACACGCAAATTAAGAATTTATAAAGAGGGATGTACATATTGAGGCAGGAAATGTAAACTAAACAAGAATTTTGGCGCCACAATAGCATGCAATATGTTTTAAACAAACGAACTAAAACAAGTACATTTAAATCAATTAAAAACTACTAAAGAATCAAACGATCTGTCACAACGATTTTGCTTTTCTCCAAAAATTAAGTTTACAAAAAACTAATCAAAACAGATGCCCTGTAATTAAAGGCATTTCATGGACACTATTTTACTTTTGTTAACAAATAATTTACACGTGTAAGAAGTATTAACTATAACTTACAAGAATCAGAGGACTTCTAAACGTCTATGAATACACTTCATATTTTTATTTTTGTAAACCAAAAACACCAAAACTGTTTTTAAACTGCGAACATTATAAATATATTTTGCATTCCTCTTCTTTTTTTTTGAAACAGTAATTAAAATGCGATTTCCGTTTAAGTTTGGTTTCCTTTATTGAGTTTTAACAATTGCATGATGATTTTGCATTACAATTCGCTTAATTATTAATAACAATTGCTTTCATTGTATAGCATTTGTGTATTTCTCTTTTGGTTTGAATAAGTTTTACTTGCGTTCTGTTTAGAATAAAATTATTGTAACCGTTTTACACTCAACTTTCCACTAGTCTGGCTTCTATTTCACACGTTTTGCCTCGAATTTGACAAAATTGCTGATTTCTTTAAGTGGGTCGACAGCACGCTGCACAATGAGCTCACTTAACTCAAGGGACTAAGCAAATTAAAGAATTAGTAATCAATAAATAATTAAGATTATCCTTTTGCATACGAATCATATAAACAATAATAACTCAAGGTTTGGCTGGATGGCGACAAAAATACTTTACTACCGCAAGTAAAATTGGCAATTTAACGAATTTTAACGCTTGCAAGTTTGGCCTAAGCAAATTAAATAATATACCTAGGTATTCGAACATAAAAATACTTTAGGTAGTGTTAGCTCTATAGAAATTTTGTAGTTGTTTTCGGGGCGAGGGGTGCTTGCACAATTTGTAAAAGGTTAAACGTAGGAAACTTTCGGCAAAGTTTAGTGAGTGTTGTTGCTGTTGTGGTTGTTGCTGCTATATATTTTTGGTTTGGGCGAGTGTTTAATTGCTGTTGTTCATACTGCATCATCCTCCCTCTGCGCAATATTCCTGGCTTAGTTATCTTCTCTGTTCTCATCGGTTGTTGTTATTGTTGGCGATATTTGCTACAATTTATGCGGGTGTTCCGTGATCCGTCCGTCTACAGCTTGCCGCAGATCTCGTTCGTGAACTCGGAGCACTTGGCGCGGCCGCCCAGATCGCCGGTGAGGTACTTGCCTTCCTTGATGGTCTCGAAGGCGGCACGCTCGATTTTATCGGCGTACGTGTTGAGCTCCATGTGGCGCAGCATCATCACCGCCGACAGCAGCAGGGCAGTGGGATTGGCCAGGTCCTTGCCGGCAATATCGGGGGCGGTTCCGTGCACGGACTCGAACAGGGCACCGTTCAAGCCCATGTTGCCGGAGGGCGTCAGACCGAGTCCGCCCACCAAACCCGCGCACATGTCAGACAGAATATCACCATACAGATTGGGCATGACCTGGCGAAGGAGACGGCATTAACAATGCGCTGATACTATACTATGGCGGCTGGGTAATTCCACTCACCAGCACGTCGTATTTTCCGGGGTTCTGGACCATGTTCAGGCACACGGTATCCAGATACTTCTCCTCAAACTGAATTTCGGGGAACTTTTGGGCCATGTCGCGGACACAGCGCAGGAAGAGACCGTCGGACATACGCCTGTGGGGAGGGAAGATGAGTTCAGTTTCTGAAAAAGAGTAGTGGTATTGGCCCACTTACATAATGTTTGCCTTGTGCACAACGGTAACCTTCTTGCGGTTGTTGTTCTTGGCGTACTGGAAGGCGTACTCGGCCACACGTTTGGAGGCCTCCTCGGTGATCAGCTTGATGCTCTGGACGACGCCGTCGACGATCTCGTGTTCGATGCCAGAGTACTCGCCCTCGGTATTCTCGCGGATGGTTACCACGTCCACATCGTCGTACAGCGTCTTGTAGCCCTCGAGACTGCGGCAGGGACGCACGTTGGCATACAGGTTGAACTCCTTGCGCAGGGCCAGATTCAGCGACCGATGGCCCTTGCCCACGGGCGTCATCAGAGGACCCTTTAGGCCGATCTTGTTCGTGTTCACGGAGTCAATGGCGGCCTGTGGGATGCCGAACTTTCCGTCGGGACCCTGTTTACATGTCACACAAATGAGCAGGAGAGGTACAATTAATTAATCGGTAATGCTGGGCAGACGAGTGCATAAGTGCAACTTTATTGTTTTGACTTTCTTTTGTATTTATTTGAATTTCAATTTTTTTCATTGGTGCAAAATTTAAATGTTTTTGTTTGTTTAAATAAAATAAAAATAAATAGAGCACGCTCGCAAATTGTCATGTTTATATGTTATTTGTGGGGCCTTTAACAGAGCAAACCAATATTTGGCTAACAACTTTTTTGAAAATGATGTATGCATTCGAATCAATTCATTTTGCACAGAAAGTAAACTCATATTGCACTGCATTTATATCGAATATAGGGAAATGGTATGTTAATTAGTGGCAAATACTGGTTGCAGTTCAAATTTACCGCCCCAGACGACCGTAGTTGCCACCTGTTGTCAAACGGCCATGCGCTCCGAAGCCTATGGCGCTCAACTTGGATTTGAAATGGCAAGCTGAACTTGTACCGCTTGCCGGGATTACGACACTCACCCGAACGGGAGTCACGTCCACGGCCTCCCACTCGATGGGCACATTGGCGGCGGTGAAGATCTTCTGCACGGCCGCGGAGATCTCGGGTCCGATGCCATCGCCAGGGATAAGGGTGACTTTCTTGGTGCCGGAGGAGTAGGACCGGCTGGCGGCGGGAGTCGCATTGACCTGAAAAATAGGAAATCCATTCGCGGGTTGAGTGGGTTACAGAAATGGTGGCGAGAAAACGCATAGATGGGCAGCAGCATCTAGCGAGATTACATAAGTGCTCATGCCAAACAACAATCCCGTCCACTTCCCCCCGCGCCAAACAGTTCGTCGTGTTGAGGTTAGAGTGCATAAATGATTCCCACGGCGTTGATAAGGCCACAAATCAGGGCCCAATCTCGGTAACTGCTTTTTTCAGCCTTTCGACGAGGGGGTGGGATTCTTGAGGGGCCGAACCACCCGCCCTGCCCACCGTTATCGATATCTCGGCCACGCAACGAGGGAGCGAGAGAGGGAGTGTTATGTAAAGTGAATGCGAATTCTAATGATGTGCTCGTTTCGTTTTCGCCGAATGGACAGCTGATGTCCTGGCGGAGGAGGGGCTGGCCCCATTGCGGATCCCGGATGGTTCCGTCGCTGCCGCTGCTGTTATGGAACCAACCTGGCTCACTGCTGGCGTCGCAGTCGCCGCCGAAGCATCACGCGCTGCAATCAAACCCAGTTGATTGAGCTGCAAGTGTTTTGCGTAATGTGTTGTTGTCGTTTGGAATCGCAGATCAGTGGATCGGTGGGTTGGTTAGCGATGGAGTTGAAGGACAGGAGCGTCGGACGAAAAACAAAACGCAATGTTAGTGGTAGTTGGCCAGTACTTTTTGGCCAGCACGTAATCAACTGCTGTCCTGCGGAATTTGGTCGCTGTATAGAGAAATGGGCGCGACGCGGGGGCGGGTCAAGTCTCTTAAGTCTACACGGGTCTTACAATTTTCTGTATGAATCTAGCAGCCATTGCGTTGGATCGGTTTTTGCACTGATTCCTGCCGTATATTAAATAGAAAAAAGTCTGTCTTTTTAGTCTGCGCCCGCCGTAGTCGCCACCTTGCGGAAAACTGGCGAATCTGCGGTCTATCGGCCGATAGGTATGCGGGGGCAGCGGCGTTGCCACCTGGACCGCGTTTAAGTGGGGGTGAATTTACAAATCTCCCATATCTTCGCATTTGTATCCTCTGCTTTGCTTCAGGCATTTAATTGTTGTGCTTACATAATACGTAAAGTGTGAAATCTACATTAAAGCCGGCTATGGGTAGACAGATGTCTCATGTCGATAAATCGGTTGCCTGAAATTGTGTACAGCCTGCAGGATGGCATCCCTGATCAACGCGCAATCGAAATATCGAAGCGGCATAATCGATAGCTTGTGTATCCCTTGCAACCGTGGCTGCTACAGCCACAGTTTAAATTAACTTTGAGCATTTGCTCAGTTTTCTGCCGTATATTTTCGTAAAAGTTCTGAGAGTGTGCATTGAATAGGGGCAAGCGAAGCCGTTACTCGATCTCCAGCAAAAACGGGGATAGGATAATCCAAGGGGCCGCCTGTCGAGGACCCAGGCGAGGGCAAAAAATCGGATCAACCGACAGACAAAGCTGAACTACGGTCGTCGGCGACAAAGTGCGCTGTGCCCACGGACGACCAGAGAGAATCGGTACGCGAGCGAGTTTTTTTTTTCGCGTTTCAGTTTGGATTTCAGTTACCTGCGCGCAACAACTCTGCTGTACAGCAGTAAGCAGCGGTCCGTAACTTGAGTTTCTGGCAAAGAGTACCACTATCCGGTGGCCCCAGTTCCGCGTCCGGCAGGCCAAACTACGTAAGCGGGCGAAAGTGGCCCGTGCAGTGAGATCCGTGTGGCAGCGTCTTTGGTTGTGTGCTTCTGGGGCAGCAGAGTACCAGGTAGGCGTCCTCCGAGTTCCTCCACTCAGCCAGATTCGGATTCGCGAAACGAAATCCAAATGCATTGCTGTTTCCAAACTCAGCTGGCTTGGCCCTCACCCATACACCTACACACGCGACGCTCGCACACACACACGCGCACACACTCATACGAACACTTATGAATGTATCTGTTTGACAGCGCACTTCTACGCTCGTTACGGGAAAAGTGCCTCTCGCCAAGCGCACACTCTCGCCGAACGCGTTGAAGAGTTTCTATTTGCTGGATTTTTCAGCCGGAGAGCATAGTGCGGCTGGCATCCGTGTTCGAATCAGTCGCTAACACATGTCCACACTTTCCTTGCAGCTCCGCAGTGCTCGTGTTCGCTAGTGCTCGTGTTTGGCCACAGCTAGCATCCTGGAGAAGCAAAACAAGCGCGCCCAGCTCATCCGGGACAAGATGGTGTTGGCGGAGCGCAACACCACGGACGTGGTGCGCAACGGGCGTCGGTCGCGCGGTCCCAGTCCCAATACGCACACCACGGGCGGCGTCACCAACAGCGCCAGCCTCGTGGGCAGCGGCAACAACAGCGGCAACTCCGGGAACGCCAATGCCAATGAAAAGACCACCACAGCTGTGCCAGGTGCGGGCACGCCGGAGAGCTCGGACGACGACAACTGTAAGTGAAATGCCCCGGGCTTGCCTTCCTTTCACTTCAGCCCATTTATCTGTATCATCTCCCCTTTCCAGCCACCAAGCGGAATGGCAAGAGCAAGGCAAAGCAGTCTGAGTACGAAGGTGAGTAGCAGAAGGCTTTTTACCCACGATGTGGTCTTTTAACAAATGCCCTTCTCACAGAGAAAATCCGCGTTGGACGCGACTACCAGGCGGTTTGTCCGCCGCTCGTTCCGGAGGTAGAACGACGCCCGGAACAGATGAACGAACGCGCCCTCCTCGTCTGGTCGCCCACCAAGGAGATCCCCGATCTGAAATGTACGTCTTATTTTCCATTTGATATCTGTGTTGTGCCAGCGAATAGAATACTAATTCACATCTTGTTACCTTGCAGTGGAGGAGTACATCTCGGTGGCCAAGGAAAAGTACGGCTACAACGGAGAACAGGCTTTGGGCATGCTCTTCTGGCACAAACACGATCTGGAGCGGGCCGTAATGGACCTGGCCAACTTCACACCCTTCCCGGACGAGTGGACCATCGAGGACAAGGTGCTGTTCGAGCAGGCCTTCCAGTTCCACGGGAAGAGCTTCCACCGGATCCGCCAGATGGTGAGTGAACCGCGCATAGTGTTTTAAACCCCCTAAACCCAACTGCAACTCCGACCACAGCTGCCAGACAAATCCATAGCCAGTTTGGTCAAGTACTACTACTCGTGGAAGAAGACGCGTCACCGCAGCAGCGCTATGGATCGCCAGGAGAAAACCATCAAAGCGGTGGTCAAGGATGGCTCCGAGAACGGCAGCGAGGTGGGCAGCAACGAGGAGTCTGATAACGATGACAAGGTAATTATCTGCTAGAATTAGTTAAGCGAAAAGCCAAGAGATCCTTCCCCGATCCCGCCCACAAACACGCACACACATACATACACCTCGCTCACCCACACACATTCGCTACGAATTTTGAACTTCGAATACACAAACCACATCCAAAAAGAGACGGCTTTCACTTCTCCCCGTAGGCTCCCTGTTCCCCGGCGCCTCCGGAACGACCCAAAATAGGTAGCTTTTACCACAAAGAATCGTATCACAAAGAGATTGTAGACTAGCGCATTAGGGCTATGATATCGTATGTAAATCTAGGCTAAGGCGACTGAAATTTGTTATCATTGTGCCCCAAAGTAATTGTGTAAGACTGTCCACATCAATGGATTGTTTATAGGCTATACAAGTGTATTTTAAAATGTATTCTTAACTTCGCGAGGGGTTAAGTGGGTTGCACCAGCCGAAAACAGGGGCTTTTAAAATGACTTCTATATATTAAAAGGATATTTCGAGACTTTAAAAACATTCACTGGACGTATTTTTGCTGAACATCTATGGAAAGCGAAAAATTAGATTGAAGCTAATGAAAACAACACTTGCATAATCTTAGCTGATTAAAATAAAACAAATTAACACTCCTAAGTTCAATCAGCATATCTTGTGTATATATGTAAAATCTGGTCATAACTTTTCGATTTAGTTTCGTTATCTACGCCGTGTTGACATTGTATGCTATTGATATGAAATTAATTTTTGGGTAACCCGTTTGAAGTGCAAACTTTTGAGTGTATCCAGGCGCGGGAAAACTGACGACCTGCAACAATGCGCCTGAAATCCTTTGAAGCAGCCTTGTTTTTCAATGGCTGTCCCTCCATTCAAACGTTTTTCTAATAGCTGTGATCAGTAGCCGTCCGCTTGATGAACCAAAGGGCTTGAAGAGAGCCGGGGTTGGCAGAATATCGGGTGTAATCCCTGACTTGCCAATGGTTGGTAGTGTGGACTGTACCCCCAGGGATCCTCTCTATTTACAGCCAGCCGATGTATGTCGTTTTGAAAGTCTGGTTCGTTATTTTTCAGATAATCGCCGTGCCTGCATACATCTCTTAACATTTTTAATCATTATCCACACACAAACGAATACCAAAAACAATAATTGACCAGCATCCATAAGATTTAAACGCAGTAATGATACGATTTCGTTCGCACACAGCAGAGAATTCGCCACACACACTTGAGAATTAATATGTATTCCGCGAAGGTTGGCTTGATTTGATTGGTTTGCTGCAGAAGTTCTTTGCAATTGAATCAGCAAATCGGGTTGACTGGCACTAGACTAAGACAAAGCAACAACAAGAATTGTTCTTTGTTATACACGTACACCTATATAAATAGTATATACAATTTAATATATTTTTTTTAAATAATTATAAATAGAATGGTAAATTATTATACGTAAAATAGTAATTTATATAACGAGATTGATTAATTTAAAGCATTTAAATATTAAAGTAAACCAAGCAAAACCGAAATTATGTACATTCATACATTCTTGTATACAGTGAGTGGAAAGAAAGGAGAAAGACACTCGTTTCTATTTCCAACTCATCCTGCCACAGACGATAATCATGATGGATCACCACACCTAATGCTAATCCTAATAAATGCATATCTTGTTTGCGAAGAGATTAAACAAAAGCCCAAAAACCAACAATTTATATGTGTTTCTTATTCATAGAGATTCGTTTCGCTTCTCCGTTTCCATCTGAGTTTTTGTTCCACCATTTCCCAATCGCTATCACCCATCCATACGCATGATCCAGCCATCCTCATCCAACGACACGAACTCACACAATGCCCCACAATCCACGCTATACCAACGAAGCCTATATCTATCGCTATGTACACATGTATGCCATAAGTTTCCTTTATTTTGTCAGCCCCTCGCTTGCACCTTTATCACTGCACCACTTTAAAACTTGATCCCTCTTTCCCAGCTTGAACTAAGTTTGTCCAGCCACGTCCACTGATCCTCGGCATCTTTCGTTAGCGAATGTGTCGTAATGTACTTTTAAGAACCCACCCTTCTCACCTAAACATAAGACACTTGATAGAGAGCGAACCCACGACATAAGTGCTTGATACCCTCGGTGTCCAGGCTTCCTTGTAGAGGGACCTGGAACCTACAGAAACCTCACGCCAATACTTCCCATTTAGACATATTGAGCAGCAGTGGGGCTCAAAGCCTAGGACACTTATGCGATTTGTATTGGCATTCCGGGAAGGATCGGGATGGGTTGGCCAGGGAAATTTGACTGGGATATTGGGTTGTGGGGATGTTGGGATGAGAGAGAGTGGCAAAGGATCGATTGAACTGCAGTTGGCGAGATTGAAAAATAACCCGGAGAGCAGCAACAATCAGCCCAAAAACAATCTTGTACTTGTTAAGTGTGTTACCAACTGAACTAAAGCAACAACCACATACGTTTTTTCTCTTCTCTTTGCATTCACGGTACGAACAAACCAAATCCAACAATCAATACACACCATTAAACAATAACCCCATCTGAAAATGTCCGAAACCGAACGAACCGAAACAAAACGAACTTCCAATAATCAATGTCAAACCCAAATGAAATGCAAAACCCCCATCGAATCGAATTAAACCCTGTGTTGGTCGGTGTCCATTCGAAAAACGTGACTCCCATTTGTAATGATCGTTGCTGCAACCGCAACCGCAACTGCAACTGCAACTGCAACCGCCATTTGAAATCCATTTGCGGATGAAATCCTGGCTGGGCAGAAGCACCACGGCACCAATAGCACCACAAATGTCACCGACGCCACCACGACATCAACCAACAACACCACCACCACTAACTCCACCTCCACTTCCCCCGCAAACACCACTGCCAACACGATCAACAGCAACCAAAGCAGCAACAACAACAGCAGCGGCGGCGGTAGCGGTGGCAATGCCAACAACATCAGCAACAGCAACGGGGAGGAGAACAACCAGGGCGGCGGGAGCAACAGCAGCAACACGAGCAACAACGATATGGACGCCGAGCATTTGTCCCTCCTCGCTGGAAATGCCCAGGGCGACGAGATGCTGGGACTCGGCCTATCCGGCGATGCTGCCATCGGCACCAATGGCAGCAACAACAACGGCGAGATGGGGGGCGATCCCAGCCAGCTGCGACGCGTGGTTGTGGGCGGATTTTGCAAGATTTGCAACGTGGTCTGTCATGTGCTGCACGATTCGCCGCTGGGGCGCATGTGCAAGAGTTGTCACACCCACTGGAGGTAGATATTTGACGCAAACGCCGCAAGTTTCCGAGACACCAAGCTAATGCCAAGTTTTCTATCTCTCTTCCCAACCCCGTACCATCCTCACTTTCGAAACGATCCCAAACAAATTCAAATCAAATCATTTACTTGAACTTCTTCGTTTTGCCTGCGACCGTTCACTCACCCACCCAACCAACCACCCACCCGCACACACACACACACACACACACATACTCGAAACCAACGCGAATCCGGGGATCACCAGGCGCACGGGCAACCGGCGACCCATTTCCGGGCCGGAGAGCAATGCTCCCCGAAGGTCCACACACAACTGCGCCGTCGCTGCCGATCGATCCAAGCGCAAACCGCCCAAGGGCATGTACATCAACCACGACGACCTCACGGCCCTCGCCAGCTGCAAGACTCCCAGTGTCTACTTGGCGGAACGCGATCGGAAGATCTCAGCCCTCATGGCCGAAGTAAGAAGCGCGATGGGGCCGGTGTCACATGCCATAAGTTAAGAAGTGGGGCTATAGGGGACTTGGGGAGTTGCTGCGGTTAGAATAAGTAGATTAGTAGAATAAGCTAAGGGATCTCTGTAATGAAGCCATCTGCAATGAAAATCATATACTCCCGAGAAAACTTCATTGAAATCCCTACTGTCGTTAAAACACTTTCGGTCATTCGAGTCATGTGTTCTTGTCCAGATCAATTCGCTTTATATCTAAGGCTCACAAAAAAATCATTAGAATATATATCCTACGATCCAGTCTACGGATCAGAGTTTGCAGGCTATGTTGTACCAAAGGCAAATATAATTATGTGAATATGTTGGTCATTGGTTGCACAGATGATATCCTTAAAATCAAACAGTTGGAGTTTCTATACTCCATATGAATTGCTAAAATCTAAGAAATGCTCAACAGGATAGTAGAATCGTACCTTTGTGCCCTTTAATTAGTTTTTTAAGGGTTATATAAGTCATATTCGGTATGGACTAAGATCTCAAAAGAAATGCCATGAAAAGTCTGTCAAACCTATATTCATAAGAAATAATCGAATTATGGAGGAGCTGTTTAGTTTATATTGTACAGTAAAGTATTGAACTGCATTCCTTGCGAGCAAAGCCATCGCAGAATCCACTATCCACCATCCCATACACTGCACCACATTACTTTACACACATACCCCACTCACAAAGCAAATTGACCCACTGACAACTTTCAACTGAATGCCCCCCTGCACCCTGACCCATTTCAGATACAAAAGAATAGACAAATGATGGAGCAGCTGGACAAGGAGTGTGACTCCATCAATGTGGAGGATGTGGTTTCCAAGCCGGCGGCAGCCAACACCGAACCTGCACAACCTCGCATTTCTGCCAGATGGTTGCCAGACGAGATCCAAATTGCTCTGCTCGCGATCCGCGAGTACGGAAAGAACTTTCCTGTAAGTGAACTTTTCTCGTTCTCCCGCCGAATGGCGACTAATTCGCTTTTGACGATTGCAGATGATTGCCAAGTTGGTGACCACCAAAACGGAGGGGCACGTGCGCACCTTCTACTTAAACAATAGACGTCGATACAATCTCGACCAGATCGTAAAGGAGTACGAGGCTGGCAAGTCCGAGGAGTCGGGCGCGGAGGAACAGAGCGAGCCAGTTATCGATGCAGCTGCAGCTGCCTCAGCAACCGCATCTGCTCCCAGTGCGGCTGATACCGCATCCGCCACGAGTGCGACGGCAGACAGAAAACAGTCCACCGAAACCAGCAACAACGGAGTCGAGGCCATCCAAGAAATATTGCCCAAAAAGGAGGACCCAAAGAAGCCGGAGCTGGGAGCGGCTGCGCTAAAGACTGTAGTAGCTGAGGCAGCAGATACCACGCCCACTGCAGCATCCAGCGGCAGCTCCAGCACCGTCGCTGGCGGCACCGTTGCCGCCATCTCCGCCAGTAAGCCCAGCAGCAGTGCTACAATTACCATTACAGATGAGTCTGACACGGCCACGAATTCGAGCAGCGACGTTGTCACCACTGGGCCTGCCGCAGCCACCGGCTCGTCCTCACTGTCCATCGCAAGTTCTGCGCCCGCACCCAAGTCGCAAGCCAGCAGCGAGGAGCTGTCCGCTCAGAAGTCCAATCCCGCGAGTGGGATCGTCGCCACAGGAGCTGCAACGGGCGGAAGCCCGACCGCCAATACCGTCAGCAAGCGGGATGGCTCCGCAATGGTGGGTTCATCTTACTGCTGCTGCAGCTGGTCCATTCCTTACAGCCTCTTCTCTCCACAGGCCGTCGCCGAGCAGCCACCGGCCAAGAAAATCGCGCTTAGCAGCAGCGGCGGAGGCGGAAGCGGAAGCGGCGGCGCAGAGTTCCTGACCAAGTGAGGAGGTCCCTGCGGCGCCGGAGACGTGTTCACTCGCGATATATATGCACGCATAGATATATACCGATACATAACATAGCTTGATGTTGGGGGCAACGTCCAAGAACTGTGCAGCCGGCCATGCGGTTGATCGTTGTATTAGTTCTTTTTTTTTTTTTTCTAATTGTCTTGTAAACTTGGGACGCATTTATCGTAAAAAAGCATCACGGCTTCATCTAGGCTTGTAGAAATTAGTTCGTTTGTATTTGGGGTAAAATTGAGAAGATTCGGCATATTACACAACTCTTAACCGGGGATCGTACGTACATACATAAGCACTTTAACTCATTTACGTAATCTTTGAGTCCGGAGCTCGGAAAAGAAGCTCGGGGGAGCACCGCTGAAGGAGCAACCATGTATCTTTCACAAAATTTGTATAGGTCAGAGATATTTTGAATGGGTTTGACGGTTAAGATACTGTCCTACGGCGGGTCGGGACTACGCAGACCACACGACAAATTTAGCGCAGATTATGTATGTAAAACTATGATAATCAGTTGTACACGTGTAAATTATCATCCTTTTTTTTTCGTGACATTACTTAGCATATAACAATTGGGGTAGCCCTGCCACCGCAGCTACCCCACGTAATACAATCTGGAATATCACCCATCCGGCCTCACCACACCACTCCATCAACGAGTTTCTGTTGGGCTAGTTATGGCGTAGCCAACACCTGGACACCATTGTATACAAGCAGTTCTATCCATTTAGGAAAACAATCTATAATGTAATACGGTCGAATGAATGTTGTGGCTGACGAAACTGAATCGTACTAAACCCTAGTATCCTAAGTATCTACTGGCTTATGAAACTCGATTTTTCTGTTCTTAGTAAAAGTGGTCTGAATAAGAAGTTTGCACATCTCGGATTCGGCTTGCATGAGTCGCTGTCCAATGAGTTGTTAACAATAAATAAATATAAATATAATTCACATTCATGTTGTTTGCCATGCCAATGGGTGGTATTATCACTAATCTGTCATTGCTAATAGTTAGAAATTTCACGCTGATGGATGTGGATATATGGACTTAACCATTAATGAGTATAAAATATAATATAATTAAAACGAAATATATGGCAACAACGGGCGTTAAACTGAACTTAGCGCTGCTGGGACTCATGGAAACGACGGTAGTTGGGGTAATTCGACGGCCGGGAGACCACACAGCGCTCCAGGAACGGCACGCAGGTAATGAGGTAGGCCAGTCGGTTCACCCAGCCGGGAATCTTGCGGCCACAGACGAGGTGTGCCAGGCAGTTGGAGAAGTGGTTGCAGTTCTTGCTGGTCAGATGGTAGCTGTTACCGGGAAACTGGAGGCCCAGCTGGTCGATGATGCGCCCCACGTCCGCGCAGCTGAAGTGCGTGTAGCCCAGCAGAATGCTCTCCCGGTAGCGGAAGTTCTCGCCCAGCTCCTCCTGGGCATTGCAGGGCTCGATCTCGAAGATGCCGGATATCGGGAACTCGTGCCCCCCAAATCCGTACTCCCGCCCGTACAGCTGGACTCCCGAGTGGAAGAAGCCCACGCCCAGCGCAATCGTGTAGTTGTTGATGGTGACCAGGTCGTACACGTTCAGCAGCACCGGCTCCTTGTGCAGCATGTCGTCCCGACTGCTCTCCCTGTCGCCGCCCAGGCAGGTCGTCCTCATCAGGCGGTTAAGGAACATTTCACGAAGGAAGCAGACTCAATTTAAATTGGATATCGGTACTCCTCACTTGGCTCCTCGAACGGCAGCTGTTTTGGAAGCAAACTTGGAATTTAAATATGTGCAGCTTGAGTTGGAGTTCTTACCGATCGCCTGCTGGGGCTCAAAAAGTTAAAAAATGCCCCAAGGCTGAAGTTCTAAACTCCAAAACTCAACTTTTCTTAATCGGATTTTGAAGTGGCATACCTCTAAATGTTTCTGGCGCAATGCTCTAAATATCTGCATTCAAATTTAGAAATTTATTTTATTTAAATTTTGTTGTAATTTTTTTGCTGTGATTATGTTGTAGAAATTCCAAAACATTAAAAAATGAAATTTCTGGTGTGCACTTCCAATAGCTGAGTAACGGGTATCTGATAGTCGAGGAACTCGACTATAGCATTCTATCTTGTTTTGTTACTCGGGAGGGGATGGTTTCATAAATAATAAGGCTGCTGCAGTGTGTTTTTTAAATATTTTTATTATTTGCATTCTTGCTGTGTCTGGCATAATTTGTTAAACATGCGTCTTGTAGTTTTCGTTTGGCTTGTTTTTCTCGTATTTAAATATATATAGGTGATGTATTTTATTGGTTTCCGTGTGTTTTTTTGCTTTTGGTTTCGTTTATAATTATTATTAAATATAACTCGTTAATGCATTGCTTAGCTAAAAAAAATCATCTTATAATTAGTTCGACACACCTTGAATTAGTTAGAAAGTTTGTAGTTTAGTTCGTTTGGGCTTGACTTGCGGCTGCCTGCTTTGGATTCCTGTGCATTTCGGGTCTTTGGGGGGTCGGATGGAGGTGGATGTGGTCATGTGGTGGTGGTGGAGGATTTAGGATGCAGTGGGAGTGGCAGTTGGAGCTGCTATATGTACGTCGTATGTTGAGTAAGCTATATTAATGAGTAGTGAGCAGGCAATGAAAAGTCGGAAGAAGCAACCAAAGAGTTGCACGCATGGAAACCGGAACTAGGAGCTAGGAGCTAGGAGTAGATCCAACCAGACCGGGTCAGATCAGACTGGGCTCCACTTGCGCGTTTTCCACGTTTTCCGCGTTTTCCGCGTTTTCCACGGGGAGGGGCTAAGCAACCTGACTTATGCTATCGCTAGTACATATTTTAGTATATTTATTTAAATTTATATATGCGCCTGATGCGCGCGTTACTTTACTTTTTATAATGCCACGATAAAATCTCAATACACAATTTGCTTAGATACTATGACTAGTTGCCTATTACAATATCCACTTCCGCTCGCATTTGTTTACCTCCGACTCTGGCTCTATGTACCTCTATCTCTATCTCTACCTTTACCTCTACCTCTACCTCTACCCCATTATTCGATTTGGATCTGGTTTTCCAAAAAAAAAAAAACAAAAAGATAAAACAGAATAATATCAACAAGTCTTATGAGTAAATCCCGCCCAGAGCTGAACGATGGCGCCCTTCATTCCGATCCTTATCCCGCTCCGATCCGATGGGGCATCCAGGATGGGCTGTAGACTAATGACTGGTATATATACTATATATGTACATATGTATATACAGCGATATATATATATGCATAGATATAGACAGAGAGATTTGGCTGCTGCAGGACTTCGATTGACGCACTCCACCCTAAAACACCGCGCCCCAAAGGGCCATTAAGGCGCGATCTTTTAAAAGAAGTCGTCAAAGGTCTTTGATTATGTCTGGTACTGCAGCATGGGGGCTGACAGGTTGGGATGATGCGACGAGTTCATCCGCAGGGCGGACAGGCTCTTGTTGTACCACTCGTCCTCCGGCGACATGCCTGCTGGGAAGATGGGGAAACGAATATTCCATTTAGTCAATTACCTTGTGTACGAGTATCAGAATCTGTATTCATTCAGACGCCTTGCATTTCCGTGGTGCGGAAATTCCGAGCTACACTTCTTCACATCACCCGGAGACGAAGACACGGTGTTTTCTTGGCCGGAAATTCATCTCCCTGCACTGCTCCCTCGCATCCGGCAGGTCACCTTCAAGGTGCCTCCAAGACGCCCCACCTCCTCTGTCCGATTACGTGAAATCAGCTCAGTAACCCAATCTGCGAGGGCGCCACTGGCCTGGACACCGATAAACAACGTCGGACTTCAGCGGAAATTTGCTTACGCACCAGGGACTTGGAAGGGGCCAATCGGCTGGGGGAGCACGGGAGTACGGGAGTACGGGAGTACGCCCTTGTACGCAACATGAGATTCTGTCGCGCCAGAAGACTCGTGTCCACGAACAGGCCGAGCTCGGAGCATCGGGAACTGGGAATTGGGAATCGGAATTCGGGAGAATCGATTGCTTAAGGTGCGATCTCCAGAACACACTGATCATTCCAAGTTAGGCCGCGGCCAGAAGCGGTTGCCCAAGTGGATCAGCGAAGTGAAAGTCCAAGGGAAGTGCAAGTGCAAGTGAAAGTGTGCAGCTCAGCGCGGCAAGGTGTCCATGGATAAGGGTAAGAGACATATCGTACCGTGGAACTCACCCATCGAGTCCTGACGCACTCCAACGGAGCCCATGTTCGTGCTGTGCGCCATGGAGAAGGGCTGCGTCATGCCCGGATACGAGGAGGCGCCCATTTGGAACAGGTCCTGCAAGAAATGCACATGTGTCAAGGTAAAGTAAGGTAGGTGGCCTAGATGGCCTAGATGGCCTCGGTGGCCCATGCAACTCACCTGGGGATAGCGATTCATGGTGTTGTGGTGCGGATACGGCTGATATCCGCGCGAGACGCTGTAGCCCTGGATGTTCCGCATCATCCCGTTGCAGGATGGGATCACAGACGGTGCCAGCGCCTTCTGCAGCTGCTTCTCCTGCTTGCGGTACTTGGCCCGCCGGTTCTGAAACCAGACCTGCAAGTCGGTAGAAAGGAAATGGATGTTATTTTATTCGCAGAAAATGCAAAGTGTGTGTGTGGGGCAGTGAATCTCTGGCCAAAGAAGGACCCTTTAAGTTCGGACCCACTCTGCGTCCGGGCAATTCGCTTTGAAAAACACTCGGGCGGGCAGAGCCCTAATGATGGCATAAGAAGGCGAGGCTAAATGGAAAACCCTGCTCCTCCTCCTTGGCCCAGAACCCAGCCAGCTCCTTCTACTCCTGCTGCTCATCCCACTCCTGCTTTCTGCCACCCACTTTGCCTCTGGCTCAGGACGTTGATGATGCCAACGTCTTATGAGTGAAAAAATCTACTAAATTGAAATTGAAAATAAGTTGACGACGCTGTTTGCTGCGAGGGTCTCTGGTCCTGAGTCTCCGGTCCTGGATCCTTGGTCCTGCTTCTTGGATGTCCTGGATGTGGGATGTGGGCTGCCTGTTCGCCAGGCTCTCTAAGTGAGTGGGCGTACATGGTGTGGGCCGCCTGCTCTGTTTAGATATTATTAAAGACAGTCGTCGGCGTCCCCACGATGATGAAGGAGCCCCATGGCCCCATGGCCCAGCCCCACCCCCAGCCCCACATCCTGCCTCCCTTTTTTTCCATGATGGCGAAAAGAAATTGCCAAGATGAAAGCAGGGCTCTGCACTAGGCAGCAAGACAGCCAGGACGGATGGCATAAGAAGGCAGGCGGCTGGGGTGATGGCCTGGGCCTGGGATGGTGTGTAGAAATTTCCGACATTTTGGAAGCTGCTCAGCTTGCTTTGAGTTACTTAGCGGAGTGCGGGGCAGGACGGAGGACGGAGGATGGCGTCCTGAAGGGTGGCAGCGGGCTAGCTGTAATGGCGGCACCCAGACTTTAGGACGGTCCTTCGATTTTTTCTCCTTTCATTTTCTTATTTATTTTATCATTATTATTATCTTTGTCCATGACTATGTACACGTACATATCTGTTGGGTTTTCTGGCATCGGGCGGGTCTCGGGTGGGGTTTTCCCAGAACTTGGAGCCTTCAAGCGAAGAGCACTGCCTTTCGGGGGTTGTTTTCAGCGCCCACTTGATGGCTCGTTCGGTTTCGTTTGGTTGGCTGCCACTGCCAGTGCCACTGCCACTGCCATTGCGACTGCCAGCATAAAAATGCCAGCAAGGACACCCTGCAACATAATGCTCTTAACCATCGGCCATGTAAGGATGGTATACTATGGCACGGCGTACCATGATGGGATGGCTCCAGTTCGAGGGTGGAAAATGCGTTGTCTGAATGATTCGATGGAGCTCTGTCTATCTGTCGTTCAATTTCAGCACCAGCTGTGTGTGTGTGTGTGTGTGTGTGCATGGGTGTGCATGGGTGTGCGTTGGATGGGTGGAGAAACTCAATTAAGGATACATTTGATGGCACACTCTCAACCGTACGTACACATGTATGTATGTACATGCACATACATTCGTCGGCCAAACAAGAACAAACAAAATCGAAGGGAAATTCGATTTTAGCCAACATTTTCGCTCGACTCCAAAGAAAGAGGCTATGATGCGGCCCTCTAGTTTGGTGGTATGGTAGTATGGTAGTGGTGGCACAGTGGTGCTCCAATCTTTAAGTTGGCCATGGGGCGCAGGGCATGCAGCCTAAACTTTAATTACGTGAATGCAAATTATAAACACAAATAGCCATGCTCATGCTCAAGCACACACACACACATACTGGCCGCGCCGGAAATATGAAAATTAAACGTATTCAAATTGAATTTACTTTCAGCATTTAATCAAATTTAGCCGCTGCCATCGTTTGTTTTTGAGCTCGCATTTTGGCTTTTTCACTTCGCAGCGCTTAGAGCCGCATGCGAATCCCTATGATTTTCATTTTTTTACTGGCCCATTCCGGCCGCCTTTGTTCCATCTGCCGGACAAGTTAGACGAACTCTGCGTCCGGGAGCAGGTGGCAAATGGCAAATGGCAGTTGGTGACCCGTGGCCCCTGCCATCGGTGACCTACAAATGCCAAGGCTGGCTAATTGCCGCCTTTAAAACCCACTCTTTTGGGCGGTTTCCGTGGAACTCAACCTTTGTTTACCGGCACAGCGGCGACAAGTGCTGAAT